TTATTATTGGATTTGATTTGGCTGCTAATGAAGGATCGTGTTTGGTTATAAACTGATAATTCATCTAGTTATTAATAAAGTATTTGGTTTGACTATTAATAAATAATTTTACTTTTCTTAATTTAAATGTGATTTTATTTAATTATTATGCAAGGGTTTGATTTGTGTATGAATATAAACAAAATGTTTTATTGGCTATTAAAAATCATCGTATATGGTTATCAATAAAGCCTAAATGACATTATTTAACATTTCTATTGATAAACAATTTACTTGGTCATTGGCATATAGATTTGATTTAGTAAATTAAAAAGAAATTATTTCGGTTATTGAAAATCGTTTTATTTCTTCGTTGATCAGGATTTGATTTCTTTGTCACCAAATCTATTTTCAAATTTAAAAGGGTTTTATGTGGCTATTATTATTATTATTTATTATAAAGTATCTTAAGAGATATTTATAAAGGGTTTAAGTTAACCATCAAAACTTGTGCTTGGCTATTAATAATTATAAAGAAGACGTTTAATTGTTTTTGAAAACTCATAACATAGGTAAATTAATATGTAAAATTATACACGGACTTTTCCCTACATTAAAATACTTTTCTTTTTAACGTAGAGAAAAGCCCGCATATAATTCTACACAAAAATATGTTTAACTTCTTATTATAGTCTAGTTTTTATTATTACCAAAAAATGTGACTCGTTTTTTAATCGAGAATTTTAATTAAACATTAACAATAGATTCCCTTTATTCATTAACAGTGGATTCGACTTAACTGTTAACAAAGTATTTTACTTAAAATGTATTTCATACGTTTGTTAACACAGAGCTTGATTTTGATTATGAGCAAAATAGTTTATAGACTAATATCAATTAACTTAATACAGTTATCCACAAAGATCTGACTTGGCCATAAAAATATAATTTTACTTGGCTATTGGCAATTACTTTACTTTGGCCATTCATTAAAGTTTTTACTTGACTGTTAAAATACATTTTACATAATGGCTTGAAAATAATTCATATAATAATTTAAAATAATTTAATAAGGATTTTATTTAAAAAGTATACATTATTTGACTTGTTTACGAGTAAAACAGAGGTAATTTGGCTGTAATTAAACGATTTCGATCTATTAAAAGGAAATTATTTCGCTACCAAAATTGAGTTATTTAGCCATAAAAGTTATTATTTTTAATATATAACTTGGAGATTTTTCTTGGACATTAAGAAAATGTTGCATTTGATAATTGGAAAAAGGTTTGGCTATTACAAATTTTTTATTTCGTTGTCAAGAAGATTTTTACTGGTTTCTAACAAGTGGGTTTGGTAATCTGTAACTAATCTTATTGTTAACTACTGAAGATTCCTGCAGTGTAAGTATCCAAGTATTCTATTTAAGAATAAACTTGACTTAGCTATTTTGCATTGGAGAAAGTTCGTGGAATTTTTTCGTAAAGTTATCCAAGGACGTTTTGCGCCAACGGCTCCTAATTCGTTAAAGAGTAAAGTGGAATTGACTTTAACATTATAACGTCCTCAGGGTTAAGAGGACGAACATGTTCGGCAACGGGTACCGATCCGTTACCTACACCTTGGGAGTCGAATACCCTAACCACCAAGCCATTCTAGATGTAATGAAGTGTGACACCATAATAGATATGTATATTACATTGAAACATTTAGTAAGTATAAAGTGACATTTTAATCATCATACATTGATCACCATGAGGATCAAACTAACATCTTAAAGTATGCTAAATGAACTTAGATAAAGTTATTTTCTAATTAGGTGAAGAGAAAACAACAATAAAGTCGTCGTATTTTTGGTAAAAACAATGTGCTTTGAAGTAGTGGAGAAGATACATACGTAAAATAATGGCAAAGCAAATTTATTAAGATAGAATTTATTTATTTATAGCAAATGAATAACAAGAAACATAAACTGGATTTAAAAACAAACATTGAAAAAATCTACTGAGGGAAAGATTGCAATAAACATTTCTTATAAAAAAAACTGGTTGCTTAGCGGTAAGGTTGCGAGCTTATACCACTAGCAAGAACCCTAAGTCTGTTTAGCAATCACTTAGAAGTGTGGAATTTCTGTGAGAGATATTGTGTAGTGTTATCTTTATGAGTGAGAAATGTAAAAATAGGCTGTCTTGAAAGTACATTATATGACAAATAAAAAGTTAACAACGATTAGTTTACTTATTTCGGTATAGTTGGCCTTATTGTCACCACGCATATATTTTTGTAAATTACTCATGAAGCAAGGAGATAGACATTCCTACGTATGATTGTTTGTTTGTTTTTGAATTTCGCGCAAAGCTACACGAGGGCTATCTGCGCTAGCCA